AATAGCAAAATTTGTCAACCTCAGTTAAATTAGAATTATTATGCACAGAATTCTCAAACTGATTCCAAAAATCTAAATATTCTGAAGGCTCACCATAGAATCGAGGAAGCGAAAGTTTAGGAAGTTTAGTTCTGTTTCCTGAAGTTTTATTTTCTACGTGAACATTTTCTGGATTTACTGTTTGTTCACCTGACTGATATGGAACTTTTCCAATTGATTTAATTTTGTTTTGCAACTTTACTTTAACTGGTATTATTTTTTCGTTATATTCATCTACTGTGTTAATTTCATCCTTAATTTCTTGTTCTTCTTTCAACAATTCATCAATGTCACTATTTAGTATGTTAATAATTTCAATTTTACTATTCAACTGTTCTAAATATGAATCACATACATCTATGTCAATATCTGATTCATTCAAATATATGTTTATTTTTTCTACTAACTTTAATGTTTGTTCACGATGTGTGTCACGCTTAGTTCGAAGCTTTAACAATTTAGCCATTTTCACAGTTTCTAGCAACAAATTTTACCCCTCAAATACTTTAACAATAAATTCTAATTCTAGAATTCTAAAAAAAACAAACTGTAATTTTCAACAACAAATCACACTTCAAGCATTAACAACAAATTCTAATTCTAAGAAAGCACAACATTTTCTTACTTTCAAATACCAATGCAAATATTCAGTAAATGCGAAACCTAAAGTTGTAAATTTTTACCAAACAAGATCAACAACATCAAACAACCTACCTACTTCAACAATTACAAAATATTCTATTCAAACCAAATTTTCAACAAAACTATTTACTCACCCCACCATTACGATAATTCCCGGCGACAGCACCACATGTTACGAAGCGAATAACGATACTAATGCGTAGTTCGAAAGGCTAGTAATAACTTGACGATTCTTGTTCGAACGCTAATTTTGTTTCGACGAATATGCATCAGTGGTAAATTTGATCTTGATTTGGATACAAAATATTCATGACGATATCTTTCATTTATATTTAATGAAAACACCAAAATATATCACAGCAATACACATACATCGCAATGGCGAACCACAGTTACATAATGTAAAAAAAAACAGAATTCTTTTGGCGCAACAGCGCCCTCTATACTATGAAAAGTTCTAACAACGTACGTACTTATCTCACATAACTCAAAAACAAGTAGCCTCAGAACGTTGAAATTTTGTATATAAGACTGCTATAACATGTAGATGTGCACCTCGTATTTTGGTTGCAATCGGCCGCACCAAACGTATATAAATATATTATATATATATCCACTCTGTTACCCGGCTCAGTGATCTCAGTTTCTTTACTCTTATATGTTTGTAAATTGTACATTTTTTTGCTTTAAAAATGATTGAATTATGTTGTTTTATCTTCCGGTTAAGGTTTTTTATGCCTTTAGTAAATCTGTATGCAATATTTTTAGAATTATCAACAATTTTAAAGTTGTTTAAGTGCCGCTAAGCCTAATTTTTTTTGATGGCGGCCATTGATTGTTTACATTTGAAACAGCAGACTAGTGGGATTTGTTGCCAATCTAGAGAAACTTAGCTTCACAACAACAAAGATAACGCCTTCATTTATTATTGCCAATTAAATCATGCTTAATCCTTTCTGGAATTTTTTCGAGGAAATAAGTGTTTAAGATTTACTTCGTAATTTTTAATGCAGATATTTTGAGTTTTTATGTATTTTTGCCTTGTCGCGAAGTGAGAACTGAATTAATTGAATGAGAAATACTCAATCGTCTGTGAAAAACTGTTTCTTTTCTGTTTTGTTTGCTTAATTTCTTTCATACATCGTTTTAGCTTTATTATAGTATTTGAATAGAACATGTGGCAATGATAATTCTTCAAATGATATAAATTTTGTGCATTCAGAGTGCCCTTATAGTAAACAAATATAGTGAATTTTTAGAGTGCATTTATTCTATTGTGGTTTATGCGCTGTCGACGAAGTAGATTTAATTCAATCCACTCAATTTAAATGAAAGTCAAGAAAAAAATGTGTATGATTTAATATTCCGTACAAAGGAAGTCATGTGGTGTACACATCAGATTTTTTTTAAGTGAGTTTCAGTCTGAAGCAAGATGTGGTATGAATAATTGATATAATAATGAATCCATTGAAAAGAGAAAAATAATATTTCATATAGTTTAAAGGAAAAATGTATTAAATAATTCTATAGATAGAATTTGTCTTCAGTTTTATATCGCAAATAATAAAAGTATGGGGTGCTTATGTAGTGAAATCTCTGAATTTAATTTCATTGTCTGATGTATAAGGCATTATCTTTTAAAATTTTTTATTAATTTTATTGCATTATCAAATATATAAGCTGATATCTTTTTTAATTTATGATGGGCAACCCACACTTTTTATTGTTCTCACTATAAAGTTATAGTTGGATTCTGTAAATATGCTGTCATAAATTATTATGGATTCTGCAAATATACCATCATAAAATATTTTTCTCCTTTTAGTGCATTAATTGTATCCATTTTAAACAAAAACTTATGCTATAAAACTCATGTTTTTAAATTGCATTTTATTTAGACTTTGCAACAGTAATTTGTATATAAATTGATAATCCAAAACCCATGTAAATCATTAAATATAAAACAAAAAAGATAAACACAATAGTAAGTGAATGAAATAGGTGATACCCTAACATAATTTTACTGTAGCTCAACAAAGGAGTATGACTGGGATAAGGAAAAAATGAAGATATCGTTCGCATATGAAGTTCAGTACGAAGAAATCAATTATCAGATGTCTGATCCTCTTGCTCACCACAAATCGTGTACTGAAAATATGTTTCTTATCACTGGATGGTTCTTTTTTTCAATTATCCCCTTACCAAGCCATCTCATCTCCTATGGCGAGTATGTCAAGGTTATATTTATCAAATTGCTCTATAAATAATGGTAGTCCTTTATTTCAATACAAAGTGTGAACATTCCATGTACCAACTCACACAGTCTTTAAATCATTTCCAGGTCATTTCCTGTAATACAGCCCAAAATTTTCTTTAGGATTTGCAGTGAGTTTTTTTTACTGGGAATGGTCATCAGCCTCTTGCCCAACCCCTAATCTGAAATAGTAAACCCTGGAGACAGGAGGATTTGGTTATACCCTCAGACACTGGATAGCTCAGGCACCTCGGGAACTCCACCTCCCATACCCCTTACAAGTGAGCAGCACCTGAGAGGAGTCCTAAGTGTACAAGTGCTCAAAAGTCTGCCTACAGCTCATTCTGGCCTAACGCTCCTCCAGGCAGAAAAATCATAGGTCTGAAAGCTACTTGCTGCCAGGCTTTCTTCATCATAAAGGCTTCAGGCCTTTATGATGGGTGTATCATATATGCATCAGGACTTGATCCTCTTATGCGATTTCATGCCGCTTAGCGCAATTAATCTTGAAGACAGTGTGCTGTTGCAGTAGTATGATCTTGCAAGATGGGGTATTTTGTGTTGCTAAGACTGACTTAAAAAAATTCATTAAAAATAATCTTTATATCAATTGTTTTTATTTTTTCTGTAATGGTCTAACAGTAATATAATTGTAAATACAGAATATTAAGAGATCCTGGGAAAATTTTATTAAAATATGCAAAATAAAATATTTGACTTATCTTGATGAAATGTTCTTAAAAACTTGCTTAGATCTGTATCTAAACATACGTAAAAATAATAAAATATATAATTAAATATTATAGCATAAGTGATTCAGAAAGGGGACTGTGTGATAATCTAGTCGCTATCATTTCATTATTTATGAAACACATTTTCAGGTTGAACTTTTTAATTACTCCCAACAGATTAATTAATCCTAGGAATCCCCTCATTTCAGGCACATCTACAGGAGTATGTTGATTTTGGATGAAAATGAATTTTCATTCATCTTTTGTTCATAGAAATTATTAGTTTCTTCAACTATTATATTCATTAGATTATAAAAAAATGGTAAAAAAATTCATTCATATAACTTTGAATTAAGGTTACTTCTATTATTCCCGTAAATTCATAAGTCTTCAATCGCTTAACAGATGGAGTAGCCACTGTTCTGCTGGATTGTGAGGTGAAAGCAAAACAGACTTCCATTTAAGTCTCTGACAAAATTTTGGTATAAAAATCGCTATTCTCACTTAAATCTAGAGTCTTCAGCGTCAAAACAGTTTCTCGTGGACTCAAATGGACACTCATGGGCTTTATACTTCAAAAATACTTTTCTTCCATTAAAAATGTCTTTCTCTTAAACATCACATTATTAGTTTTGCCCTCTTAACCAGTGCAAAAAACATAGTCTGCAATCTAAAGAAGATAAAATACAAACTAGAGACCGCACCCAATCTTCCCATAAGAAAAAAAACAAATTTGAAGCATCAGAAACTGTTCAATGCTTTGATTCTTAAAGACAGAATTTCTAATTCCTGGGGAACTTGTAGTACATCTTGTCAGTGTGGATCAAGATATACTGGGAAAACTGAAAGAGCATTAAAATTTCAATCAGGATACACAAATCTTCTTTTACATTAGGATATACTATCTAGTCTTTAATTTCTTACGTTTTTCTACTATCTTTTCTACTATCTTACACTCGTATTCGCTTTGCTCCATTCATAGCTTTTGATATAAATACAGTTTGTTGCTTCTCTCTTCTTTGTAGAATATTTTTATCCTATAGAAGAGGTCTGATACCTGTGCCTGATTGCTCTTGAACTTGGAAGAGATTTATTCAAAATCTATGCCAAAATAGGGTTGCTGTTTTGCCTAATTTTATGTTTCACATTGGCATGTTTTTTCTCCTATTTAAAAAGAGCCTTTGCTATATATCTTTCAAAATATATTAAACTTTTGTGGTGTTTAATTGATGTCATTTCAATGTCACTATTTGCATAATGTCGTTGTTTTTATAATGCCAAGTTGCTGTTAGCTTGGTTTTTGATAGTTTTTATCAGTTGTATTTCTTTTTCAGGGAAATATTCAATCACTCCAGGAACGTGTACACCAGCACTTGTATATGCAACTTTTGGTGACCGAGTTCACCTTTATTATGATGTATGTCTGCCGTCCTTTAAAATTAACAATTTTTTAACAGCTATGGAACAACATCCAGAGTCATCTGATTTGCTTTCACGTTTTCCAGTTGATGGTATGTATTTTTTTTTTTTTTTTTTTTTTCATCAGTAATAATGAATAACAAAATCAGTGTATTCTCATAGCATATTTAGATCGTTAATGAGTAGGTTGAACAATAGGTCAATTTCCCATTTTGTACATACAAGGTGTATATATATATTGGCCCCAAGAATTACGAGGAATATATGCCAGCTGAATGGAAGAGGGTCTTGATTATTCCAATCATAAAACCAGGTAGGAAGAGAATGTACACCAGAAGATTTCAGACCTGTAGCTCTAACTTCTACAATCTGCAAAATTATGGAGAAAATGACTTTAATGCAAGTCCAGTATTACCTAGATCAGAAATGGGCAAACTTTTTTGATCGCGGGCCAAAAATCGAAAAAATAAAGTTTGGCGGGCCAAGATGAATTTTTCTAAAATTTTAAAAACAATATACAAGTATTACAATTTAATATATTAATGAGATGAATGAAACTGCGATTTCATTTTTAAAAGTTCCTTATATTGAGGTTCGAAATGAGATGTACTGATTCTAAGGAACGAGGCTAAATGTTCATCTGTCAGTCTACTTCTGAAATAATTCTTCCAAGGTTCATAGTTGAAAAGACTTGTTCACATATATAAGATGAAGCAAACATAGCACTGATTTCTGGGCATGAATATTAAATTTGGGAAACTTACTTTCGTTAATGATTTTGTAAAACTCAACTTTTGGCATATTTAGAAACAATTGCTTAGATGATTGTTAGATTGCAACTCTAATTCAAGCTGCAAATCTGACCTCACTGCTTCACAATTTACGTGAATGGGCCATGGTAAAAATATCAATTCTGCTTATGGCACTGAAATCTTGAAATCTGCGTTCGAACTCAAATGCAGTTTTTCAAGCTATATTCAAATTCTTAAGGTTCTCTTCATTTAGAGGGTATTGAATTAACCTCGGAAATGAGATAACGTCGTTCTTACCTAGCTGCCCACAAACATATTATGTTTTAGTTTAAAAGCTTTGAGAATGTGACCAATCTCGTTGATAATTGGATTTTTCCCTTGCATCTGACATTCAAGTTTCAATGACAAAGAAGATCTGTGAAAAATGCAAGTCTGAAAGCCATTTTGTATTCTAACATTTCGCCTCCGCAGAACACTGTTTCTCATGGAAGAACGACACAATGTCATCTTTCAGCTGCCAAACCCGCTCGAAAACACATCCTGCACTAAGCCACCTTACTTTCTGTAATACAGTACATCAGAGTATTCAGATTGCACTGACTGAAGAATCTCGAAATCTTGTGAGTAACCCCACAAGATCGAATACTATTTACAAGCTTCACGACTGTATCAAGCAGGGTTTCAAATTCAATGCAGATTTACACAGAGCTCTTGATGAAACACAATGTAAAAAACACATTGTTTCCGGATAGTTTTGATTAAAGAGTCCCGAAATCAATTTTTTTCCTATCATGGTGCTTCATCGGTCGTAAATTATATATTTGTTATAGGCACTTTCAATTAAAAGCCCCCCTGAAATTCACGAAAAATATCATATCCCGTTGAGTTCCCTTTAAAGAACGCTGCACGCCAGTTCCTAATAATTTCAAAGTCCTCATCAACACCTCTTATAAATATAAATTGGCAGCATCATTTAACAGTGCTTTCATTCCATAGTATGAAACAAGATTTAAACCCGGCCAAATCTGACTCTAATTGTGATCAAATTTTTAACGATGGCTTCCATTCTAGAAGTCACCGTTTTTGAGATAAGCTTACAGTCTCAAATTATTTTCTTGTCTGGACAAAAATCACAAACTTGGATCATGCATTGGTTTAACGACTCCCTCACTGAAGCTTATTATTTTAGCGTATTGTATGCTACACAGTAATTGCATGTACTGCTTCTTGAATACTGTTTACCTTCTTGAAAAAATTTTGCGGCCTGAATAATTTTTTACAAAGACTTCTGCATTTTGTTTTTTTTTCATATTCGGACTTTGCTTCGTAATTGGAATTCTTATGCTTAGATGTGAAATTATGGGAAATGTTATATTCTTTGAAGACTGCTACAGTTCATTGCAGATAAGACACTGTTATTTACAACTGAAAAAAAAAATTCATGTCCATTCATCATTTAAAAGCGGCACTCTGAATCAACTTTACGTTTTTAGTAGCCATTTTGGGTAAATATTTATGAGTAATCCAAACAAGCACTAGCTACGCTATACTTTTAATATTTCACACTATCACAATGCTATATGTCACAATCTTTCAAAACGCAATCAATATATTAGAACTTGCGCCAAAAGAAAAGCAGCTATTGGAGCTTAAAATGTGCCAGTCTGCATATTTGAGGTCTGATTCACCATATTGAATCTCATATTCGGCTCCACAAGAAAAATAACGCTTGTTGGCGCCATCTACAGCTATAACTAACAAATAACTTCCGCTTTTACACTTTACCGATTGAAACTGCCTGTGTTTCTATTTCCTTCGTTTATGTTTTTGTAGAACAAAAATAGAGAATGAAAAGATTACCCAGCTAATCTGAAAAAAAGGAAGAAAAATATTATATTTAAACAAAGTAGAAAAGGAGATGGATATATAATACAGTCAAAAGTTGTTAATCCGGACTCGTCGGGACTTCGGCGATTCCGGATTATCGATTTTTCCTAGTTATGGCTAGTTATAACTCTCTAGTTATGGCCAATACGTTAAAACTTCAGCATAGCTAAATAAATGGAAAAACCATCAAAGACTAAAGAAAAACATCTCTTTTTGCCTAGTTGGATTCCAAGAGCTTACTATTTTGGAATGTTAAGCCTCGTTCACTACAGTGCTGATTAAACCCATAGGAGGGACTCTCCAGGGTTCACTTTCACTGTAACGTTTTCACACCTATAAATAAGAAAGATTATATTACTGACCACCTTAGGCAGTTGGCACCAAGGCATTGGCTTACAGAGTACCTTTACCTCCATATCATCCTTAAGAAGGAATGAATTAAATCAGAGTAAGTAATGGCTAAATAAAATGAGCAAGAACCATTACGGGTTTAAAGAGATCAATAAGATGTCCACACGATGGTACGAAAACTTCTTTCAAAAGCTCTTTTACCTGAGCGAAACCCCCGCTGAGGCAATTGAGTAGTGAACAAGGTGTTGAGCGTAAGCAGTTATCGGCATGCAACTAGCGTGGAAGGTAACTGAACAGGTTGAAAGAAAGAGGAGCGGGAGCATTGTCCAGGCCCCAGAAAAGGTAGTTATGGCAATGTCAGAAGTCAGCAAAGATTGTTAATGCTTTGGTGAAAGGTCGGGGGGGGGAGAAGAGGTTAAAGACCTAAGAACTAGTTGCAGGGAAGAGGGAAGTTACGTGAAGGGAGCGGAATCAGCTGATTTTGCGGTAGAATAGATAAGCAAATTTTTTCAAGGCCTTTTGTCTAAAGAAAGAGATTCTTTTTAAAGCGGAATAAATTTAAGTGTGTCTCTTAAGCTCGAGAAAATGGATAAATTATGTGTTTGTTGAAAATATTAAAATTAGCATAGATTAAATTAAAATATTAATTAATTAAAAATTACGGATTTAAATGCCGATTGAATGGGGCTAGGTTAGGTCCAGCGGGTGTATGAGAAATAGTTAAGGTTGCTGGGTTAGGCCCATGAACTGCTGGTAGTTTAGTTAAGAAAGAATTCCTAGTCAAGTAAACACCTTCGCTTAAGCTTCCTAGAAAAGATGTTAAATGTTCTATCAAGAATGTTCCTAGGTCACTTAGCAGAGCTTGGTTCTATGCAGGAAGTGAGTGCAAGACTGGGTTTTCAATCTGAGAAAGATGATTAAAAAACTTGGTCGAATTTCATCGGAAAAAGGCTTCCAGGGGAGGAATTTGGAGATCATTATGCAACACTTCATTCGGACAAAATAATGATGCAGGTATATGCGAAGCGTGATGCTCTGGAATACTTGGGTTTTCTTTAGATGGCTGTTAGCTACTGTCGACTGGATGACGGCGGTGTAGGTTAGAGTTGGGAGAATGATACTCTTGTACAAGAGGATCTTGTTCTTTACAGAGGGGTTGCTGGTGTGGCGGATGAGGCCTTATGAGGGGATTTCTTGTGTTTCTTGCTTTGGCTATTGCATAGTTGATATGGGTATTCCAGAGCAGCTTTGCATCCAGCTCCCAGATATTTGTAGGATCAACCCAGCGTCTATTCTCATCAAAGAGCCTGAGTGGTTGGAGTTAATTATGGACATTCCTCTTTCTGGGCAAGAAAACTGTGGCAGCACTTTTGGCGACATTAATTTTGATTTTCCAGGTAATGAGCCAGGACTCCAAGTCTGGCAAATACTGTTGGAGGTGATTGAGAGTGGCATGTAAGTGTTGGAGTGCTGTGAAATGATGGCTGTGTCGTCTGCGTAAAGTGCTAGATCGACACTTGGTGATTGTGGTATGTCATTTACATACAAGTTGAAGAGCGTAGCGCTAAGAATTCCTCCCTGAGGCACTCCCGCCAGGATAGGACGAGGAGAAGAGACAGAATATTTAACTTTGACAGAAAAGGTACGATTAGTGAGGTAAGAGTGCATTAAGTGCACAAAATTAGCCGAAATTTCAAGTCGCATGAGCTTGAATAAAATTCCGATATGCCAACACCTGTCGAAAGCCTTTGCTACGTCTAAATAAACGATAGCTGTAGGCTTTCCACTGCGAGATCCTGTGTGAATGATTTCAACTACCCTCAGTAGCTGGGTCTGAGTTGAGTGTTTAGCACGAAAACCGAATTGTTGAGGAATAATAATATTTCGGCTTCGGCAGAAATCATTCAGGAATCTAAGCAGTATAGCTTCGTAAATTTTACTAAGTGAAGACAGGAGGCTGATCGGTCTATAATTTTGTGGGACCTTGGGTCCATTCCAAGTTTTAGAATAGGAATGACATAGACTGCCTTTTTGAGTTATGTAATGTTGTTTAGTTTCAGAAAAATACTGCAAATTGACAATTATTGAAATAAATTTTTTATATGCCATTTTTTCATGCTTGGTGATATTTAGTCATATTTTTGCTGTTTTTGTGATTGCTATCCAATTTTTTTTTTTTTTTTTTTAAGGGAAAGAAAAAAAATTTTAAGCCTTCTTTAATTATCTCATTTTTAAGAGAAAGAGAGACACATTCAAATAAAACATAAAATAAGCAATAACAACCTTTTGTTTGTCATATATTTTAACCAAAACTTTATTGGTTTCAAGGGCAATAGGTGCAGGTCCCTCATCACCAGGAGAAAATAAACTTTGTAAAGAAGGAAGCTGTGTTCATATCAAAAGCCAAACAGTAAAATGAATGGGGAGGTAGTGCCATCTATCCATGGAAATAGTAATAAAGTGTGAAAAATTAAGTTAATAGTATTAAAAAGCACTAAAAAGAACTAGATTAGAATTACGCTCATTAACAAAACGAGATAAATCTTTGTGAATGTGAAAAGCTTCAAAGAAATCCAATTCACTGACTGAAGAAAATTTGTGGACAATTTTTTTGCAGAACCAGTGTTAAAAGTAGCAATGATTAGCTATCAAAGATCTGTTTATTTCTTCATTTCAGACATCAGATTTGTGTTCCTTGATGTGAAATTTAAATGTTCTTTTAGTTTGGTTGAAATATCTCAACTCATATAGAAGATATTTTGCTGTTAGAAATAACATTAATAACCTTGTTTTTCTTCCATTTTGTATTTCTATCAGTTGCAAAATTTAACAGTTTCTCCAGAAGTTCAAGTCATTTTCTCACATATCAATAAGAATTCATTATTCGATTCTTAAAGTTTCCATTTTTGACTTTAAATCTTGGGGAATTTATTGCGTATGTTTCCAGTGTGACTTGAGACATATTGGCCAAGCTAAAAGAGCATTAAAGGTTTGCATCAAGGAACATGAATTTTATGTCTGAGAAATAAAGAAATTTTCAATAGCTAATCACTGTCGGAAGTTTTATCACAGTTCTAACTGCAGAAATTGTCCAAAAATTTTCTTCAATCGGTAAATTGGGTTTCCTTGAAGCTTCTCACATTCACAAAGACTTATCTTGTTTAGTTAGTGACTGTAATTCCAACCCAGTTCTTCCTAGTGCTTTTAAAATACTATTAACTTAATTTTTTCCACTTGATTACTATTTCCATGGATGGATGGTGCTACCTTCCCATTCATTTTACTGTTTGGCTTCTGATATGAACACAGCTTCCTTCTTTGTAAAATTTATTTTCTTCTGATGATGAGGGACCTGCATTTGTTGTCCTTTAAACCAATAGTGTCTTGGTTAAAATATGCACCAAACAGAAGGTTGTTGCTTTGCTTAGTGTTATAGTATCTGATTTTTGGTTTTGAACAAAACCTAATAAAGATAAAAATGAAAATAAAAATTAAAGAATTATATAAAATTTATTTCCAAGATGCAACCTATGTGTTACATATTTTGAATATGAAAATTAAGATTTTTCTCACCTTTAAAGCATTATTTCAAGTTATTCATTATAATTTTTTTTTTTTTTTTTAGTTAAAGATAGCAAACAGCTTAGGAATTTGTACACCAAGTGTTTGTATAACTTTCCATCTCATTTGCTAAAGTCTGAAAGTGAAGAAAAGCCTTGAATGCTATGTGATGCACATAGGTTGGATGTTTTTCTGATTATTTATGTAAAATTTCATTTGTTTGTAAATGCAATATTTGCATAGATATTTTTTTAAATGCTAGTTTGGTTAAAATATTGTTCCTTATGAAATGTTTAACTTGTTGAGTTGTAAATAAAATTAGTTTTCACCGAAGAAGTTTCTTTTGTTTCAAACTTTTGCCATCTGATCATGCAATAATATTAGCCAATAATAATCACTATGTAAATACAATATCAATATTCATACTGTACAGTTTTTAGCGCAAAAGGGAAGCCTCGAAACACGGTTTTGTGATACTTAACTTTTTATTAGTCTGTTTCATTCAGCAAAATGTGTGTTAAATATGTATTTTAAATTGATTCTTTTTGTTCATCCATTTCATATTTCTATCAGTTGCAAAATTGCACAGTTTTTCTAGAAGTATAAATCATTTTCTCACACATCAATAAAAATTCATTATTCTCAAACTGTGCTATTTAAAAGCAACGGATGAAGTTCTTAAGTTTTCTTTCTTTCTTTTTTAAACATTTCAATTCGATTGATTTGCATTTATTTCATAATACATTCAATATTTTTACTGAATGATGTTCTCTACATTTTCACTTTTCAATTAGACAGAAGGTATGTAATGTTCAAATATTAAGATAAATGTCTGTTCGTCTCATATCCTCTAATGTGTTTTGCTATTTTGCCTGATAATCTGAGTTGTTAACTAACTTAAACTTTATAAGAGGCTTTTTGGATGACTGTTAAAATCTGAAGTTTTCCACATTTTTTTAAAATTAAATTTTTTAGGCTTTATCTTTTTTAAATTCTCATGTGCAAGTGTTCATCTATAATATCTGAAATATTTAACAATTTGCTTTGGCCCACCAATAGCTGAGTGTAAAGTCACTGAACACTGCTAGTTCGGTCTGAAGTTGGAATCCCACAAATGGGCTGACTGCATAGGTGTAACGTGTATGTGAGACAGTTTCCTTTATAAAGTCATCCACGAAGACATACCTTCTCTTAAGAAGATAGCCCTCAAGGCTTTACCATAACCATATAAACCTAACTAAACAAAAACCTTTAAACTAAATACCTTTTGCAATTATTAAAGCCAACTTCTGACTTTAGTCATATTGAAATATAGAATGAGTTGTAAAAAATAATAATGAAACATGATATTTCTTCAAAAGCTGTTCTTACAGAGGATTGGAACAATTTTACATGAAAAAATTAGTTGAATCCATGCTAAAGAGCATGAAAATAAAATTTTAGCTAAAGGATATCCAATGAAACATTAAAAGTCCTGTTATTTTCTTACTTTTATTAATATAAACTCTTTGTTTCATGTGTTAAAATAATTATGTCAGTTTATAAGACTTTCAGAACTTATCAAGTATATTATCTTTGACTGAAAATGTTTTTAAAATTCTTGCCAAAACAATGAAGTTTTAAAATAAACTATCAGTAGTATATGTGAAAAAATAATAAAGTCATTTTTCTGATATATATTAACTGATATTTTCAAATAAATGCAAAACAAATGTGAACCACTGCGTGTTACTTTGATAAGAATCTCTTTAACCTACCTTTTCTTTCTGTTTTTCTAGAAGTACTATAATGGTAGTCTTACTTTTAAAATTACAATACCAACACCATTGTTTTATTTTTATATGCATATTTTGCTGAGCATGATTAAGAAACAGTTTTCAGTTAAATAACTGTTTTGTATCTTTAAGCTACTTTTCTCTCAATTCTTTGGCAAAATCTTCAATAATAATTTTATTTTCAAAATTAGAATAAGAAACAGTTTTCAATTGAAAGATAGCTATTATATCCTTTTAATTGTCATTTCTATTTTTTGTAGTTTTTCAACAAATATTTCTATGATAATCTCATTCTTAAAATTAGAATTTTCACATCATCATTCTAATTTTTATATGCATATTTTATTGACCGTAATTAAAAGTAATTTTTTAGTTGAAAGATAAATTATTTTAGTTTTCTGTGACTTGAGTTTTACTTAGGTTTCATATCATTTCACTATATTATATTAGAAAAGAAATATGTGTGCTCTGGATGTAATCAGCTTATCAGTGTGTTAAGTGTTGCTATACTTTATATGTATGCTGTACTACGAAGGTTGATCCAAAAAAAAGTTTACAAGCAGAAGCATTTGAAATGTAATAATTGCGGAGCGAATATTTCCACCCAGGGTGGTTGACAGGTGGTGCTAGTTGTCCTACAGCGGTTCTACGAGTAAGTAGCGTCAGTACGCAGACACTTAAGAGTGACAGTAATGGCACGACGTCTAGAAAAGTGGTCTCGCATAGATGTGCGATCCGAAATTCACAGACAAATCGTTGAGGTATACAGGGGACAAAGCAATGAGTAGACAACAGGTAGTGAAATGGTGTCGTTCTTATCAAGTGGGCAGGGAGCATGTGGAAAACCGCAATATGGAAGCGAGCGGCCGTCCAAGTTCTTCAAGGACGCCGTGTTGAAGAAATCATCTAAAGGGATCGACGAGTAAGCGTGCACGAGATTGCCTCAGAGTTGGACCTGAGTTATGGTAACGTTCAGCGTATCGTAACCGATGAGTTGCGATATTCCAAAGTTTGTGCCTGCTGGGTTCCGTGTACGTTGTCTGCGGAGCATAAGGCCACTCGAATGATCTGCAGCCTCACATTTCTTCAGCGATACCATTCAGACGGCCAACACTTCACCCCCACATCCAAAAGAGCCAGGATGAAGTGAACACACGATGGATCACCGACGAGGAAGAAGTTTAAGGTCACACCCTCTGCCGGTTAAAGTGATGGCAACCATTTTGTGGGATACGACTGATGTTATCCTAATCGAGTATTTGGAGCGTGGCCATACCATTAAGGCCGATCGTTATTGTGCCACCTTAACGAAATTGCGTAAAGTCATCCGACGCAAACGGTCTGGATTACTAGGCAAAGGCATCATTCTTCTGCATGGCAATGCCAGGCCCCATACAGCTCACCAGACTCAGAAATTGCTGCAAAGGTTCAAGTGGGAGGTCTGGAATCACCCCCCATACAGCCCGATTTGGCTTCAAGCGACTATTTCATTTTTCCGACGTTGAAGCAATACTTATCCGGAACACGGTTCACCTCAGATGATGCAGTGAAAATAGCTGCCGAGAAATGGCTCAATGAGCAGGGCCCTGATTACTACCAAGACGGGATAAACAAGTTGGTCGAACATTCTGACAAATGCCTAAACAGGTTTGGCGACTATGTGGAAAAGTGAAGGCCAGATGCATCTCTTGATTCCCATTTGTATCTTGTTTCTATTGTTAATAAATACTTTTTCATTTGTCTTGTAAACTTTTTTTGGATCACCCCTCGTATTTTATGGGATGTAAATTGATGAAAGTGTCTGGATTTGCTCTGTAAATATCTTCATCTGTAAAAATTGTTACTGGAGCTGTAAAACCTAAATGGAAACCTAAGTTTAAAAACTTAGGTTTTGGAAGACAGCTAAAATGTTATTTATGTATATATATAAAACTGTGAATTTTAAGATTCTATTAGTGCAGTTAAAAAGATGTTTATGATTTGCATTCTGCAAGCTGTTTAAATATTTATTTTAAGATACTATGAGATGATGAGGTTTAAGGCACAAGTTGCGTTCTTTAGTTATTATTCATAACAATAGCAGTGACATCAGCATCATGGTTAATATGATTCAGATAGATGAAGAGGAAAAAAAAACCTGTGTCTTGTGTGTATGCACTCAGCTGATCAATGTTTACATGTATGAGCAATGTTTTTGGAAATGAAAGTGATTAAAAACGATCTGAGAGAGATCATTGAACAGTCAAAAAAGTTTAATTCTCTCCGTGTGCTCAGTGAAAGGTAACATCAGTATTGACACACTAAAAAAAGTATTTAAGATAGATCATTTTGGATTGAAAATAAGGGTTGAACACTGGACAGGACACAGGTACATTGGTTGATCATTTTAATTTAAAGCATTTTTCAATTTATTAGAGAATCGGGAATTGCTAGTATGTTATAAATACGGCAATATTCTAATAAAAGCATCTGCACGAACAGCATGTACATTCATATGTTTAAATGTGCTTTCATGAATTTGAAGAATTTGCTTCAAGACATATTTCACAGATTTATTTTCTTTTAAAATTAAATACAAAATAAACATATGCTTTATTATACAATATGAAAATAGTTTTATTTGCATTGATCTTTATAAAAAAATTCATTTGTTATTCATTACAAAAGCAATATTCTTTTCCTGAGTGCCATTTTTCACAAGGATAAACCTATGACTTTTTATAATTTATTATTTTAGTTTGATAAACTGTTCTGATGTTGATAAATGCTCTACAGTTTAATATTATTTTCATATTCAGGTGCTTAAATTGCATAAATTCACAGTATATTTTTATGCAGTCCGAATTACACAATCAGAATTCCTGTAGATATTCAGAACACAGTCTTTTGACACAATCTTCAGAATTCTTACTATCTTGGAAAGAAATTTCGAGGATAACAATTTTAATTCTTTCAAAAAGCTTTTATATACATGTGATGCATTCATAATTTTATTTGAGCATAATAGACAAACAAATTGTGCATTTTCACTGAAAAATTGTATTCATTACATACTTATGCTTATTTCAAAAGAACTGCACATATTCTGATAACATATTTTATATTTCATATTATTAAAATTCGTGTTTTTTTAAATAACTAAATATAAAATATATTACAGTTATATCTTCTAATTTTCCATTCATTATTCTTCAGTTTATTGCATCCCACCTTCTCTTCACTGGTTATTCCTTTTGTTGCACCATCGGGTTCGGAAAAAGAATTTTAAAATAAAAAAGAGGTCATAAATAAAAATAAAGTTTGCTGTTATTATATTTGTCATTTTTAATTTGCAAACGGTGTTTTGTGCATTGAATTTCTCATCATAGAAGAATTTTAAATTGAATGAAATTTAATTTACTTTGAGATTCAATTCAGAATTCTGCTGTGGAGAGAAATATTTGACATAATCTAAAGTTGTTCATAGAATGGCTGAAAGATCTTACAAAGGTAATCAAACTATGAATTCTTTTAATAAATAGTTTTCTTCCCCCCTTTTGAAATAGCTTCTTAGAATATTTATTGTTTAGTTGTTACTAGGATACTTTCAAAGATAAAATTTGTATCTACTAGAATTCAAAAATATTGAAAAGCAGTATTTCTATAAAATTCTGTTCGGTGAAATGTTTTTAACATTTCTGTAGAATTTAACAGAAAATGATTTCTCTAGAGCGATGGTCTCAAACTGGCAGTAAAATGTATAAGCTGAATAATCTACAGTGTGATAGAAATCTTATTTAAAGATTTGAAGATGCAGGTTTTATTAACTTTTATTCATAATTGTTCATAAAATGAGTATGCTTAGTTAGGTATTTTTGCTCTCTGAGAATATTCGCTTTGTTTGGGAATATGTGAACAGTTTTTTTTCCACAAATAAAAATTCATAAGAAAAGAACCCGATTGACCAATCAGCATTTGCAATCAGTGATAAGATCAGTTCTATTAATTTCTCACCGAGGCTACAAACTTGATCAGAATCAAAAGCCATCGAGCGTCAAGATCTGGTAAGAACTAAAAAAGTTTATAATTATTTTCATACATACGTTTTTTATTATTTACAACTCCCTACCAGAATGAGTTTTTAGAAATATCATTGAATGCAGATGAGTTAAAAGAAGCATTTAAATGAAGTTCAACTTACTTCGAGAGCGAGTGTTTAGGAGTCCTTTAGTGGGGCGTGTTTGCCTTCTGGCTATTTCATTCTTGAATCTATTACACTCGGCCATATTGTACATGCCTGTTAAAAATTGCCGGCTAGTTTAAATTAAAGGCCAAACTGTGTCTAACTTCGGTTTTAGTTTAGTATTAGATTAGTTTCTTATTTTCTTATCCTGATTTAAAAGCCCAAGTGGAGGCTTTCCTGTAAGCCCAAGAAGGGGGGCCATCTGTTGCTATTTCCTTGAGTGAATAAAAGTGTAGTTTAGTCCTTCTCAAAACTACATTTTAAATACTCAAACTCAGTGATGAATTGCTGCTTAGTTAAGTCGGTTTCTCGAAATTTTATCGATAAATTAGCGAGGAACATTGTATGTTTATGCATCGAAGAGAAATTTAATAAGAGAAAGAGAATAGGCTAGCCTATGACACGTGTGTCATAAGTGTCTGACATACATCGCATATTTCCAGAGCCCTCGACGGACATAGAAAATTTCACAACACAAAAGTATTTGTCTCTTGCAACGGCCTCGTTATTGTCAATGTGTACTGTGACCACGGCCAACTGGAAGAAGGTCACGACTGTGCCCACCTCGTGTGTATTCTTGGCAGATGGTTGACACGAATGATTCTATATGTAATACGGCATCAGAGTTATGCTAGGGTTTTTTCAGAATTTTTGATGCACCGAGGTCAAACTCAAGTTTTCTCACACTTGATAAACTTCCTCTGAAAATTTGTAAAGTTTTCGTAATTTGTTTATTTTTAGTTTAAATTAAAATAAGTTATTTAATGATTAATCAAATATGTTTGAATTATTTCGACCCTCATGTAGTAATCTGAGTTTGAGACCAGGCTATAGAGGATTACATGTAAAGTTTCATAGGAATTTCTACAGAACTCTATTAGCCTATAAAAATTTTTCATAAGGGTATATCAATAATATGTTTTGTACTTAATGATTGTGCTTAAGAATAGAATAAAAAATCGTCTGACTATTCCTACATTAGACATTATGTCGATCTTTAAAAATAATAGATACTGGCTCGGAAGGCACTACTATGAAGGCTTGCTTGCATTTCACAACTTGACCTGTGCTTTCTAATTTGAAGTTGTAAATCAACTAGAAGAGAAAAGAAGAAAGCAATGTTAGCATTCGTGAAAATAAATACAGAAGAATGTCATAAATAGTAATTTACACTGTACATTCTTTCTGAATTACGTCTTTAGGTTTAGTTTCAAGATTTCCTCGTTCTTTTGCTTTGTATGTATTTTGGTGCATATTTTCTTCTCATTCTTTTAAAAACTGATTCAAAATTTTAGAACTAAAAAGGAATTTAGAACAACATGCTTGAAAAGCTTGATTTGAAAGCAATAAACGTAGTTCTAAAAGATATTTTGTATACTTTTTAATCTGGTTGATTTTAATAAAAATGCATTTAAATCCTGAGATTCTAATTAGAAATATTTCGTATTTGTATGAAACGAAGCTAGCTGGACTTACTGAAATAATTTTACATTTTTTGTTTTATAACTATTTCAAGCGGCAGGCTGTACAAGTTAAAAAAAATAAAAGAGCTAATAAGTCCACTAAAATAATAAAAATTCATGTTTTAAACAGTAATCATTAGGCAAAAATTTCTCATCCTAAAAAACAGAAAGGGGGGCGGTGACTTAGGCCAGAATTCTGAAGATTTTTGTTTCACCGCAGAAAGTTTTTTATTCAGCTCATTCAATTTTATTGTTATATTACAGTTGCAGTTATTCTTCTGCATTCTTCCTTATTCTCATGAAACAAAACTCATAACTTCTGTTTAATTTTTTTCTAGAAATATTTACGCGCTAACTCTATACTTCCAGCAAGAAAATATACGTTTGTCGTCAGGTAATTTTGGTTGAAGTAAACTTTTTCGATGCATAAAGACATAGTTGTTAGGCCAGTTAATTCTTTAAACAAAGTACGAAGATTTAAAAACAAGCTCTTTCTTTACACTTAAAAACAAGAGTGCTTAGTTGTAGAAAATAAAACATTTAATTAACCGATGACCAACAAGCAAGATTAGCACTTATATCTTTTCGGGCTTGTTACACTGTTATGGAAAAGTTTCCTATTTGTCTAAAATTACGAGTCGACTGCGTGCCAATAACGAAGTCGCTCCGCGTTTTCTGGAAAACGAATTCTTTAATATTCTACGAATAAGATCACAATAATTTGCATAGTAGCTCTTATCATCAGAAAACGTCTTTTGAAAAGAGTTTTATTTTTAGGTTACGTACAAATGCAAACACTTTGCTCTTCGATTTGTGTACGATCCCTGAATATGATGCTGGATTTAATACCAAATATCTCGCTCAATTTCTGTCGTAAGGGAGTCACATATTTTGCGTTTTATTTTTTATGACAAGTACAGTGCGAAATTTTTCTTAGTATAAGTATAGGGACCGGAGGAAGGTGTGGAGAACTCTTTATTATTATTATTTGTCCGCTGCCCCGAGAGAGGGCGCTACCAGCTTTCTCCCTCTTCCTCTCTGGAGGAAAATTCGAACTGGTTACTCGGTTTCTGGCTGCCGTCAGTGAAGCACGCACTCACCTCTCTTTCCCTCCATGATGTTATCGTGGCTGTAATATGACTTTCTTAATTTTTACTCATGCGGACTTGCGAACTGTAAAAATACTCATCTTGTAACTACATGCAATGTGATTGTGTATAAGTGAATATATGTTAAAGTATATATCATCCTAGAATTAAATATAAATGTTAATATTACCGAGTCAGATTTTGTTAACATTCAACGTGCAATCAAAAATGGCATCCATCAACAACTGCCATAAATGGTGACTCGTCAATTTAGTGAACACGTGCCTCCTGTAACCTGCTTGCATCCCCAAGTTCTGTGATTATAATGTGCTATGAAGTGAAAATTATTTCTGTTCATGCAAACTACTAGCGTAATCCATCATTATTTTCATGTCATCAGCAATATAGTGTGAAAAACAGTTGTGCCTGCTTAACAACGTGCTTGTGAATTATGTGTCTCATGCAAATCGTCAAAGTGCTTTGAAGTGATCTCCATATAAATCGTACCACGTGGTTACATATCATAAAATACGTTTTTTCGGAATATTTTTTCTATAAGTGAATTGTGTTGTGCCGAATCTGCTGCTGACTGAGCAAATATTTCTCGTATAATTCGGAGGTAAGCCACGCAAATTCTTAGTATTACTTATGCTTATATTCGGATAGCTTACCTGCAAAAGTGTTTCTCTCACGTTAATGTTTACATTAACTTTATTTATTTTGCACTAGTGTCGTACGCGAACTTATTAGTGACTGATTATTGTATATTTATTTGTGTCATATTGGCAATATATATTTGTTTTTGTGAATCATGGCTCCACCCAAGGCCAACTAGATATCTACAGGCCTGCTCCAAGCTGATGATCACATGATCTGACGTCATAATCTTAGGCTTTCAATTTTGTTAGTTGAGCTTGCTTCGCCATAGGACTAGTGCTAGTGAGATAATTGTTTACATGTGTTTTTTCTTCTGAAAAATTTTGTATTTTACCGGAAAGTACAATATTATATTGTGAATTCGAATTTATAAGAAAAAGTGTGTTTTAGAATGCCAAGAAAGTGTAGTGTACCTAAATGCCGATCAAATTACGATAGCACTAACTGAACATGTGTCCACTTTCAAATTTCCTTCGGATCCTGTACTCTCTCAGAAATGGATAAAAAATATTAATCGCAAAGATTTTGTAGCTGGCAAACACAGTAGTGTATGCATTAAGCATTTCGAAGAAGAATTTATCGTTCGAGAAGATAAAGCTGTTCGTGATGATGAGACGGTATTAGTAGTTCCTAGAACTATTCCAGCTTTAAAAAAAGATACTTATGCAACGATTTTTCAAAACCAGCCATCTTATTTATCGAAGAAACTTCCCACAAAAAGAAAAACACCGGAAGAAAGAGAAGCAGAAATTGATATTCGTTGTGATAAACAATTTGAACAGTGGAAAAAGAATGATATTATTAGCGATTTTGAAAACCTAATAAATGGTTTTGCAAAAAAAAAAATAGATCTTCCCTCTTCATGGATATTCATTACCAAAGGTAAGATCTTTTGGCTATCAAAATTAGAATTTTTAAACTGTCCAAAAGTGCTTGTATCTTTAAAAATATTGGAAGATTTAAATGTAAGAGGTTTTTTCAATGAAAATGAAATTCCCATTGAATAGTTCAATTGGATATTTGGAGAAGAAAAGCTATGTGATAAATGGTCTAAACTTGAGACAATGATTAGCCATTTGGATGGCTTTTCTGCTTCTGATATTCATGATGACTGCAATTTAAATTTAGATAAAATATCAAAACTACTGTTGAAATGTGCAGAAACAGAAAATAACCCACATTCTGAGAAATTTAAGTTTTTGTATGAACAGATTCAATTAATGCAAATGAAACAGCCTTCGTATAGTGCAGAATTCCTTGCCTGGTCTTGTTATATATTTTATTGTAATCCAAACAGCTACAATATTATACGTAACAGTAAGTATTTTATATTGCCTCATCCGTCATACTTAAGGAAGTTATCTCTGAAAATTGGCCGAGCAGATTCTGGATTACAAACAAGTCACTGGATGTATTTGAAAAAAAAAATGTGAAATTTTAAATGATTCTGAAAAAATTGTCAATTTATTATTAGATAAGATATATATAAAAACCACAAGTTTCGTATAAAAGTGGTCGTGTTTTAGGTTTTTCGGATAATTCGCAGATGGAGGCCACAACTCTGCAAACATTTATGATAAGCTCTATATTATCAAAAAACAGAGATATTGTAGCAATGTTCCCCGTAAAAAACTTATCATCACATCAATTATTAATATTTACAAAACAAGTAATTGACCATGTACAATCTTGTGGCTATCGAATTATAACTCTAATATCAGACAATAATAGAATTAACAGAAATATGTTCGAAATGCTTTGTGGTGGCTGCATTAAAATCCTCATTTATAAACCCTACCATGCATAATCTTCCTATATTTATATTATTTGATACAGTTCATTTATTGAAATCTATACGAAACAACTGGTTCAATCAGAAAGATTCAAACCAAACATTTTTTATACCGTCATTTGAAAACTCAAATATTGTTTACAATTCCAGTGTTCTACATTTAAAAAAATTGTATGAAATAGAAAAAAATGATAATATTAAAATGGCTCCAACTTTATCAAGAAAAGTTTTATTTCCGTCTTCTATAGAGAAGCAGAATGTAAGTACTGCTATTAAACTTTTTGATGAAAAGACTTTAGCTGCTCTGCAAATTGAATCACAGAATAATAGAACTGGGTATGGAAAAGATGTCTTAGGAACTAAACATTTTATTGATATAATTTTAAAGTGGTGGAAAATTGTGAATGTTAAACACTCTAAAAAGGCCGTACAGTTTTGAGATGTATTTATGCAGCCTATAAGGACACCAGAAGATAAAAGCTTAGAATATTTATCACAGTTTTGTTCGTGGCTTATATCATGGAACGATTTTTGCCCAACAACAAAAAACTGTAAGTCACAAATTGGTAAACTGTCAAAAGAAACCCAAGTTGCTCTTCTCCATACAACAGCAACATTGAATGAACTTTCAAAGTATTTGTTAAAAGAATTTAAATTACCTTTTATTCTTTTAGGAAAATTTCAGACAGATAACCTTGAGGGACGTTTCGGTCAATTTCGACAAATGAGTGGCTGTAATTATAATGTATCCATTACAGCAGATTATAGAGTCGGAAAGAAAAAACTAAAATTAATTAGTTTGCTTAAAATGCAGTCTTCTGAGAAAGGTTCATTTATTTTACAACATTTTTCTTGTAATGATATTGAAGATTTTAATGATTGATCAACTTATTGATAAGGAATTTGTTGATGTTTTGCGTCAATCCAATGATGTTAATGTTACAGAAAAAGATATAATGTGTCTAATTTACATTTCTGGATATGTTTGTAGATCTGTATTGAAGCATATAAATTGTAATCTTTGCAAGAAAAAATTAATTCTTGACAAAGAATTAATAGTTGAATATAGTGAAGATTTTGCATACTTAGCTGCTA